GCGCCGGAGCTTCCGGTACTCTGGCCAGTTGCAAACACCTGGCGTTTGGGCGCTCGCCACGAGCTGGTATACAAGTACAGGCAGCTGCTGCAGCGGTTACCACCGGCGGCGGTCCGGTTGTAAGAAAGGTTGTGCGAACTGTTGTACCGTCGTGGTGTTACTGTGGTCGCTGCTTCACCCGCGTCTTGCTGTGCAAGCCGTCATGGGCTTCTGTATTAGAAAGAAAAGCACTTAAGTTGGGCACGGTCTGGGCTCGACGATGTTGAGCAACGTAGCTACAGATTCACCAAGGGTTCTTATGGATCGAGGTGCGACTGCTGTAGGTTGAGGACAGGCTACCATTATAAATGTTGTTGACCGTATGTACGCAGGTTGCGGGCTGGGCATTAATATGCTGTTGTATATGGCACACGATCTGCTGCCGCGTACAGGCTGACTGTTGCAGTTTGTTAAAGGGCGTTGGTTGGACTTGGGAAGACGACTGAACTTGGAGAAGGTGGCTGCTGCTGCAGCTCAGTGGAATAGGTGAAGGAGGTTAGTGTTGTGATTTGGGAGATTGGTAGGGAATGAACTTTGACGATTGACTGCTGAATTGACCAAGTTGTTACTTGGCTGCCCTTGCGGGGCCCTCAGGCATTGAAGGCGATAAGGCCCCCTCGTGCGAGTCTGAGAGCACCTTTCCTGTATCTCGAGCGTCTAAAACCCCTCTTTCTGCCCTTCTTACTGTAAGTCTAGTCTGCTAGTTTGAGAGGAAGGCGGCAGGCGGGATTGCAACCCGTAATCCGTGCCAAGGCCTCTGTGGGAGGTTTCCCCACCGATTGCGGGAGCTCTGCCAAGACTCAGGAAAACTTCTGGAGGCAAGGAATCGTCAGGTAAACCACTTTCATTTGTACAACCTACTACCACCCATGTTTGTTTATCCCCCGGCTGTATGACTGTTATATGCATGAGGTTGTCCCTATGGTTTTTGCTTTCTCTTCAGGACCCAATCACACTGAATGGAAGAAACGTGTGAAAGTGAAGCCTAAGTTTCTTCTTTATTTTGGTTGAAAGCAGACAAAGGGATAAACTGGGGGAAGGTGGGAGGAAGGTAGTCTTGCATACGTTTGAAAGGGTCAACCAAAGCCTGAGCATTGTTTCCATGGTGAATAGCTCAGGGTTGTGTTTATTTAACTGTTTTCTGGGGAACCAGGCATTGTTTCCATGGTGAATTACCTGGTTGTTCTAGTTAACTCTGGGGGTTTGCCTGATTGAAGGAGTTTAAGTTCTTGTTTATTCTGAGGGAGGATTTCTGGGCTAAGGCTAAGCATTGTTTCCATGGTGAATGATTCAACCTGAAAACCACGCACATAAGTTAAACTGAGTATAAAGGGAAAATACTTTATATATATTTGCATGTGAATTGGCAGCTGGACATTGTTTCCATGGTGAATGGTCCAGCGTTAAGCCATATCATCAAGATGAGAAAGGGAAAAATTCAGAGTATAAATGGAAATAGTCTGGGCAAGCTGAACATTGTTTCCATGACGAATTGTTCAGTCTTCTGCCCATATTTGCTTTCCTTTTTGAAAACAAAGTCAGAGAAATACTAAATTTTGGATATTAAACGGCTAAGGGCGGATAGGCATTGTTTCCATGACGAATGGCCATATGCCCAAAAGAACAGAGAAGTAGTTGTGCAACCTGTTCGTATATATCTTAAAGGCGAGGTGGACATTGTTTCCATGGCGAATGGTCCAGCCCTATGTCTTATGTAAGAAGGAAATAAGGGTTCAAACACTTAAAAGATTCATAAACTATCTATATGGAATCAACTTGGGATGGTGAGAGTACTTACATTCGTGGTTTGGTTTGCATGTGACTGAGTGAGATGGCTAGTTTGTTTGGGTTCCAGTATTATAGGTAGTTGCTTTAGTTGCTCGCCACGTGCTAGAGCCATAGGAGTTAGTGATAATTCCTGTATTTTCTGTAATAACTTTTTTTTACTTGGGTCAATTCTTGCATTTTCTGAGATCTTTTCTTATACTTGACTTTGTATAAATCTTGGCAAGCTACTTTCTCTACGGGAAGCGCTACCGAAATTTCTACAAATCCAAGGAATTTGTTGAATTTTGACTTGACAAAATAGAACTTTGGGAAGTCAAAGTTACTTTCAAATTCTGGACTTAGCCTTGTGTAAATTTTGGAATAACACTTTTCTAGAGAGAGTGCTGCCGAAATTTCTGCAAAACTAAGGAGTTAGTTAAATCTTGTCTAAGTTGAACTCGAGTTGTTTTTTGAGTTCATATCTGACTTAGTATAAATCTGGGAAGTCTCCATTTCTAAGGGGAGTGTTGTCAAAATTTCTACTAATTCACGGAGTTAGACAAAATTTGACTTTCCAGAGTTAAAAATTATTTATGCCAAACAATTTTCTGTTACTTGCAAAAACCCAGGGCGGATACCATCATAAGGGTATTCGCACCGACAGCTTACCGGACCATATTAAGCGACGTTCCCGTCGCTTCGCCAAATCAGAAGGCTATAAATCCATTCACACTCCAAATGCTGACGAAACAGGAACCAATCCGATTAACCGACAAACACAGGGGAGAGGCCTCCATCAAAACATGCCTCCACAACTATATGCTGCCAGGTTTCTAACCTGGGCCTCTCACCGCCCAGAAATTAGGACGCTCACCGCATAAGTTCCAAAAACCTTCCCAATCGTCCTCTCCCTGGTCCTAAACAACCTTGGGCTTCTCGTTGGGTGTCCCTAGTCCTGGCAAAAACTAGGGACGCGGGCCTTAATCGAGACCTTTTGAAGGCACTCTCGCCTTCCTTCTCAAAATCTCTCGCAATCAAATACACACAAGTATATATGTATACTTAATATCCGCTCAGCTCTTTCTGCAGTCTAGTACAGAAAGGCTAGGTCTCCACCTTGGCCCACCATAGCCTGGCTGATCGGACCAGGACCACGGCCCACCGCATTGTTATTTAGCAGCAGTACCCTCGTTGGTTACGCAACGATAGGTTTTCTCCTGATAAGCATTCAATCAGGATTTCTCCCAAAAATTATCAACCATCATTATCCCGCGGAGTAATTTCATTGGGGCGGGCACCCTCCCCTTAAACTCTTACCCACGCGGTCTCGCAGCCAGGTTGCGCCGGCTAGCAGCCATCCAATGAGGTTACGACCTAGAGGTACTAACTTCTTTTCAGTTAGCTTGGCCTTTCTTCAATATGTCTCAGAATTAGCACCAGTGGTTAGACGGGGGCGTCGCAAAACAAAATCACTGGCCCACTGCGCGATACGTAGGGCTCCGAAGGCATTTACCAGCCCTCCCTCAATAGGCATGGCATCCTCCGCACGCTTACAAACAAAATCACCGCTAAATCCACCAGGTCGTGACCCCTGACTTGATCAGCGTCAGCAGCCACCCACCCTGAGACATCTCTCGCCCTGCACTCATTGCGACTTTCTCAAACATTCCAAACAAAAGTGGCTATTTTCGTCAGACTTTATCACTCATCAGACAACTTACTATGTCATAAATCAGTTTACTCACCTTTGAAGGTGAGTCTCCCAACAACAAAAACATCCCCTTTGCCAAAAATCCAAGGGGCTCTCATCATAAACGAAACACCCCCTCTTCCAAAAATCACGAGGGGTCTCGCCACAGAACAAAACACCCCCTCTTCCAAAAATCACGAGGGGTCTCGCCATAAAACAATACACTCCCTCTTCCAGAAAATCACGAGGGGTCTCGCCATAAAACCAAACGTCCCCTCCTCAAAACTCGAGGGGGTTTCATCATAACACACAACATCTCAAAACATCCCCTTTTCCAAAATCCAAGGGGGTTTATCATAAAACAAACATCACTGAGAGACCATCTTATGGGTCCTCATCACAACTTAAGCAATCAATAATCAACATGGTAAGCATTTTGAGCCTCCAGGGCTCATAAATCTTCAAAATCCTCACAACCTTTCATAGACGGGCCGCGCTTCTTCCCCTTATACTCTGCCCTATCAGCTGTTCGTGGGCAGGTCGCACAAGTATACCGAGGAGAAGACAATTTTGCTTATAATCATATTCACAGTACCCATGACATATAAAAGGTTTTTCACACATTGTCCACACAAACTCATCATACATCAGAGCACAACCACACATGTGAGAGAGACAAGTGATCGTCACATATAAGAATGGTCCCTTAAAAATAACTCATCATAATATACACTCAGAGAAATAAAATGTCTCACACAGAAAATGACCCCAAATCATAGCTCACTCAACTCAAGCCACACCAAACTCACGCTGACAATTATCCCTAAAATACATGTCAGATCTGTCTCTCAAAGCCAGTGCGTAGGCCACCTAAATATGTACATGCCTCATCTAGATCACTCTGATCCTCAAGATCCCAGCTCAGTAGGAACACTAAAGTTCAGATTTAGACTAGTAGCAATCATCAAAAAGGTCCTCTAAGTCTAAGAGGGTATCACACAGACTAGTAGCAATCATCAAAAAGGTCCTCCAAGTCTAAAAGGGTATCACACAGAACCTAAGTTGATGCCTCACTAGATACTCGCCCACTTACATAGACAAACCGGCCCTACCTCCTCAACTCCTCTTGGTTTTGCCTATATAACTGAGCCCTAACTCCATATGCGGACTTCTCTACTATCCTACCCTGTCTATCATACATCTTACCCCCTGCCTCTGAGACCTTCCCTTCTGCCTTATCCTCAAGGAACTCGAGACAGTCCAGAGTCAAATGCACACCCGTCTTGCAGTAGAAGCATAGCTGATTAATCTTCCTCTTGAACTTCTTTTTCCTGGGCTGAGGAGGTGGCGATGGTACTGACAACCCCCTGCTGCTCTGATCGAGGAGCTGCGGTACTAACGACCTCCTGCTGCTCTACCGCAGGAACCGGTCCCCCAGACCCAGATCCAGTAGCCCAAGATCCCAGTCTGCTCCTCAAATCCCCTGTCGCTGGGACGTACTCATGCGTGTCCAACCTCTGAGGTCTCCTCTCAAGTGTCTATCCTGGCACTGCCATGGGCTGCTCCTCAATCTCCTCTGGCCCATACTCAGGTGTGCCCAACCTCTAGAGCCATCCCTCGATGACACCCTTCGCCTCAATCCCCATCTCTCTCTTAAGAGGCTTCTCTATCCTCTGCTCGGGTGAAAATAAACTCGCCTCTTCCTGCATAGTGTGCACCGCCTCAAGGAGCACACCCATGGATCCCTCTGCTGAGCCTTGAGCCGGCTCACTGCTAGATGGTGGCAACCCCTCCTCTACTGCCAAAGGTACGACTGGGCCCGCCGCTGCCACTGGCAGCGTCGCGAGCTCGGTAGGGGCTTTGAACTCGAACGCCTCTCTCTCCGCCTGCCTCTGGGCTCTCGCCTCCTCTGGCTCCAGGATAACTCTCCTCATAGGTGGCTCCTGGCGAGGCTCTGCTGCAGATGGCTGTCCTGGTAACCCATGTCCTGGCTGCCTCTGCTCTCCCTGCGTGCTGCTCTCTGGCTTATCCACCTTTCTCTGGGTTTGCTGCCTCAGACTCTCAATGATAGCTGCTTGGCTGACCACCAATGCCCTGAGTTTCTGGATTTCCATCTCCATAGCCTCCAGGCGTACTCCATGGCTTACTTCCTTTATCTTTTTTCCTGTCAGATCGCCCTCCAATAACAAGTGTCGGTCAAAGGTTGTTTTGGCCAGGAACTTGATTTTGCGATCTAACCTCTCTTTCGCCTTCCTGGCCACCCCAAACCCGACTCTGACTGGCGAAGGAAGCTCCTCTCCTCTCTGCTCCCAAAAGTCCCTCCACATCTCAGGGATCTCCAGGGCCCTAGCTGGCGCGCTGGGTGGCTGACCTGGGAGTGCTCCTACTGCCTCCGATCTCTGCCCCTCCCGCTGCTGCTCCGGAAGCTCCCCCGCTGCCTCCAACCTCTGCCTCTCTTGCCATATCTCGTCTATCCTCCTGGTTCTTCTCGCCCTCTTTTCCTCTGCTGTCTCTCCAGCTGGCGCCCTTTCCCTCGTGCGGAGGTCGACCCTCTTCGGGATCTCTGCCTCCATCTCCTTCTCGGGCTGGCACGGCTCCTGGCGCGGCTCTGCAGGTGCTGGCTCTTCCAGGTCTGGGTGCTCCAGGGCATGAGCTGCTAGGTGCCTGTCAATTAGGGTCAAGGCTTCTCTCCTTACAGCTGCCCTCTCTCTCCTCCTTTCTGCTCTCCTTTCTGGCGAAGGGGCCTTTTCTGATGAAGGCAATGGGGTCTTCTCTCTCTGCAACCTTTCCCCTGCCTGGCGAGTGCTCCCTGGTGCATCCCCGAGTCTCAAACCTACCGCTGGCGTCTGTGGGTGCGTGTCCTCTCCAACCTCTATCACTTCCTTCCATGCACGTCTCCCCTCATCGCCCAGCCCTCTCTCTCGCTGAGTATCCTGGACGTCCTCCCGAGGCACCTCCTACTGTGGCACCTCCTCTCGTGGTACCTCCTCCTGTGGCACCTCCTCTCGTGGTACCTCCTCCGCCTGCTCTCCATGCTCCTCACCCCGAGGCGACGCCCTCCACCGAGAGATATCCAAATGTGTCTCCAACTCCCTCAAGGGCCCCTCAGATGCTAGCGGCTCCTCCTGTGTGCGTGTTGGCGACCTCCTCAATCCACCCTCGGTAAACCGATGGAACTCCACTGTCCCCAACCCACACTCAGGGTATGCCCCTCACTCCTCAGCCTCTGGCTCCGGCTCCGGTTCCTCTTCTCTCCTGGCTAGGGCCTTCCGTCCTCCTCGAGATGGTCTCGTCTCCCTGGGCTCAGGGTCCCTCTGCCTCTAACTCCTCTGACGCCTCTCAATTCTGGGCTGAGGGGGCTCTGCAGTCGAAAGGCCTCTCTCAGATGTGCCCTGCAGCTCTCCCAGTCCCGGGTCATGCTTCTAACCTGCCTAGCAAGTGGTCTTTCCGCCTTCCTGGTCCAGAGTGGTAATGTCTGCATCCAATCGTCTCTCGGTATACCCTGCCCCTGCATGAACCACTCAAAAGCGGGGATGAAGTCTGACGCATTCCCAATCTCCAGCCGGATCGGCCTGCCATCATGTCCCACAAGCGAGGGTCGCAGCTCCTGCATCCTCAACTCCACCTCTGACCTCGTCGTCGCCTCTCTATGGATCCGTGCGACGGGCTCCTCGAATCTGCCGACTCCCCTCAGCCTCTCAATCCTCTGGGTCACAGTCCAACTCATACGCCGCACATGCTCCAAGAAGTTGTCTAGGAATAACTCGATGTCACCACCGTCGTACTCTGGAGTGCTCTCTCGATGGTGAGGCCCATGCCGCTCATATCCTCATGATGCGCCCAACGGCCTCTGAGGCGGYCGTGTCCCCTTCCCTCCTCTTGGCATGGCTGTCTTCGTAAAGTCAGACCTGCACAACAGGCGAAGGAGACAACAGGCACACATTGGGGTAAGCAAACAGGTGATAATCAAAGCAAGCTCAGACCAGACCTCACTCGCAGCATGCATCCTACCTAACCTACACACCCTATTACTTTTATTATAAAGGCAGTCAGGTCATCTTTCTTACCTCTTCTCTCGCCTCAAATTTCTTCAGTCGCGTTCCAGATACCCAATCCTTCCACTCAGTCTCATTTAGCTCTTCAATCTGGTATGCTCCGAAGTCTCCAACCCGTACGATCCGGTAGGGATCTAACCACCTCTTATCGAGCTTCCTGGACCACTGCTTCTTCGATGATGAATCGTAGAGAAGCACGACATCCCCAACTGCCAACGGTACTTTCCTCACCCGCGCAGACAGATCCCATCGAGCCTTATCATCCATACGGCTTCGTGCCACATGATCAGACGCCTCCTGGATCCTTTCTTCTATCGCCCCTATCTGCCGCGCCCGAATATCGAGCGGTTCTTCGAATGACAGGTTAACTTCCAGATCCTGGTGCCTCCATGTCTTAAGAAAACTCTCGATAGGGAAGGTGGCGTGCCTTCCATACCACAGCGTCGATGGTGCGTACTTGGTGGATCTTTTTACTGTAACGTTCTCGACAAAGAACACCGCCCTTAGGTATCTTGGCCATTGATAAGGCCTACCTTCGGTCCACTTAGCCAGGAGGCTCGTAATGGTACTATGTCCTCTCTCAACGGGAGCATTTGCCTGGGGGTGCGCGGCCGTGGTGTAGTTGGCTGCCACACCATACCTTGATAACAGTTCTTGCACCTCCTGGCAGGTAAACTCCGATCCTCTGTCCATTACGAATTCCCTGACGAAAGGATAGCATAGGTAATACTCCTCGATGCAGCTCACCAGGACTGACCCGGTCTTTGTGCGAATAGCACACCCGTCTACGAACCCAGACAGGTTATCGCGCGCATCGAAGATATAGTTATAGCCCTGATCCCCAAGCGGCATAAAAAGCAGATCGAGATGCACTACAACCCCCACCTCTCGCTCTAGCCTTGGATGCAGCGGCTCTCCTTGCCTTAAACGGGATCTCTCCTGGCAGGGTACGCAAGATCGGTAGAACTTCCCGACCATATCCATCATCCCATCCCAGTAGTACAACTCACTTATCTTGGCATACGTTGTCAGGCGGCCACAAGCAGTGCGCCGCCTGAAATCCACGGTTTAGGAACTTAGCCTCAAAGACAAGTCCGTGCAATGACGGTACTCTGGTTTGACCATGCAGCAAAAATTAGAGGCACCCCGAGTACCCCTAAGATTAGATATGACGACCGTTGAGACTAGCTCTCGAAATTGATAAGAAGGACTACCTTACCGCGGGGGCGTCTATCTCAATACCGCCGTCTTTAGCTTGTTTCCGGGACGGCTGCCTGCTGAACAGCAAGATGGAGATGGGCTTGGGCGTGGTTCTTTTACGCTCCACAACTGACGCAGAAGTGGGGCCTCGGATATCATCAATTTTGGTATCAAAATTAAAGAAAAGAGAACTTGAATTAAAAACAAAACAAGAAAAGAGAAAAACGGAATATTCATTAATTTATTCAAAATCTTTGAT